AGTGATGGCCTATTAGTGCCACTGCCATGCATAAACATACCTGTTATCTTGCATACAATACTGAACTATTAAAATAATGGACAGATTCAGGTTTGGAAAAAAATTTAAAAATTTAAAAATAGTCTAATCAACCAAAAGTTTCGCGGACCCCCTGCAGTACCTCCGCGGACCCCTGTTGAAGACCTCTGTGCTATAGTATGACTTTTTCCAACATACAATGCTAAGGCTTTTTTTCATGATTTCTTTTTACATACTTTTTGTAGACATACCATACACTGACTTTTCAATGATATTTTAGTCAGAAATTGTATTGATAAGATTCTCACAAAGAAACACAGATGCATATGCAGACTCAGTAGCAGATGATTAGAAAAGTGATTTATTGAAAGGGACATGGGGGGAAATGGAGGCAGAATGTATGCTGACATATCTGACTGAGAAAGAAATGTCTGGAAGTGCAGGTTTGATGAGGTGGCTTGCAATGCAAGATGAGAGCAGGCAGGAAGAGGAGGAGGCAGGCTGTAGAGGATGTCTACGAGGCACAACGGAAAACTGGACTGAGCAGGGCAACAAACACCAGCTAGAATCTAGCTAGATAATACACAAAAATAATAACCCTATGAACGGCCTTAAATGTAAAAATTTAAATAACAAGAGTATAAAAACAGTATAAAATGTGTTTGAATCCAAATTGTGTCAGTTAAATTAATATTGCCTGATTGATTCCTTTTAATCCTTATTTTAATTCATACCTGACATTCTAGTTTTGTTAACAATTGTTGTCTTGTATAATGCAAAAGGTAGTTTTTGTCATGGCTCTTGCAATAGCATGGTGGTGGCGTGGTTTTAGTTTCCTGTGTTGCGTGTACCACAACATCTGACAGTGTTTCCAGTACGAAGTGTTTTTCTGTTGAGAATCCCAGCACGAATCTTTTTATTCTGACTTATGAAGAGACGAAGCCGAATCGGTCAAACGAAGAATGACAGATTGGGCTTTGATGCGTCATCTGCATTTTAATGACATACAAATCACTCTTAATCTTCCCCAATCCACAATCCACATACCTCAAACCCATTGAGCTGAAGAACAAATCTTTCTATGCTTCACTTCAGGTAGGAACGCCAGCATGATGTCTTCCAACAGAATACTCAATCTTTGCACTTATTGTGCCAGTTTGCAGTGTTATCTATCTGCTGTCTTTCCCTTTTTACAGATGAGTTCAAGGAAGCAATCTAAAGGATCAAATGCTGCCTGCTTATTTTAAAGCAGACTCCTGCCCTGCCAATGCCTGGCCTCAAACCAGAGCATTTCACACTGGTTAGTTTATAGCCTAATCAGATGCATTAGTGGATCTAATTCTTTGTGAAAGAAAAGGCTTAAGCAGCATCAACACAAAGAAAGAAAGATCTGCCAACAGTTTCCACTGATCAGCCAGGGATTTTTAGACCATGAAACAAATAATCCATCTTCAAATAGAGAAAGAAAATGCGACTTGGATCCTACTCTGAATACATTTGCATTATAAATTGTTGATACAAACGTGTAAGTCAACATCCACAAGAAAAGATCTTTATGAAGTCAGGATTCATCATTGTCATCCACTTATTTTATTCATGTCAGTTACAGTAGACTTGTTTAATATATTTTATCTTACTATTTTTATCCTATTACTTATTATTACTTATCTTATTTGGTAGCACTTTAGAATAACTACACACTATGAAGCATTAGTTAAGTATGAGTAAACACTTAATTCATCATTTATAAAGTATTCTTCCTGCATTAATAATTCATTAGTATGCAGTTCATAACCACAGTTATACATGTTTTATTCTTGATTAATAAGCCGGTCTATTATGTGTTTCATTATTGTGTTTTCATACTTTATAAATGATGGATTCCCCATTTGTAAATGAAGTATTATATATTTTACAAACCAATTATTAAGGAGTTGTAGATGATTAATAAGATCATTTATAAAGTGTAGACGAGCTTATTAATCAAGAATAAAACATTTATAACTGTTGTTATGAACTGCATACTAATGAATTATTAATGTAGGAAGAATGCTTTATAAATGATGAATTAAGTGTTTACTCATACTTAACTAATGCTTCATAGTGTGTAGTTATTATAAAGTGTTACCAATGATTGCACAGAGATGAACATGTAAACATGTTTTTGGAGGATGTTATCTTGAAAAACAAACAAAAAGTAACTTTCTATTTATGTATGATGTGATGGAAGATTTCTACGTTAATCGGGAGAAGAGAGAGTTGGTCAATAACAAAGTCTTCAAAAGATTCAAAGTTGTCTTTGTCCATTTATTTGCTTGCAACGGAAGAGTGCACCACAGATACTCATTCAGCTGTCTGTGGTGTGAGCTTCAACGAGATACAACATCCATCTATGTCCAAAACGCTTATCCTGTTCAGGGTCGCGGGGCGCTGGAGCCGATCCCAGCTAACATTGGGCGAAGGCAGGGTACATCGCAGGGCACATATAGAGACAGACAAACATTCACACCTACGGGCAATTTCGAGTCTCCAAATAACCTAAGCTGCATGTCTTTGGACTGTGGGAAGAAGCCGGAGAACCTGGAGGGAACCCACGCTGCAACGGGGAGAACATGCAAACTCCACACAGAAGGACCACCTGGGATCGGGGATCGAACCCTGGTCCCTCAGCCCCTGAGATACAACATTCAACATCCTTTTATACCTACAGAGGCCTCCTTCCCACATGACTCCCATGCAGGAAGTGTCTAGTCTGGTCTTATCTGGTTCATGCAGGTAGCTCAACTGTGAGTCGGTTGTGGTTTCTATGTTCCTGTTTTAAACTACACTTCCAAGAAACAGAGTATGTGAACATGTCTTCAGTTAAGAAAACGGGTCTTTAGGTGCTGACATCTGTGTCTTGCAGGGCCTGTTTTACTTCTCTATTATACCAAGATGTCACACTATGCTCTTTAAAAACTTTCCATGATGCCAATACATATTTTACCATTACAATGATCAAGGCCAACAATATACAAGAAATAGCCTTAATGAATGAACTGTATATAATACTGCATGTGGTCCTATTTACAATACAAAATATATAACACATATTTGTCTGTTTATATGTTCAGTATGTTTAAATTTCTGTTTTAAGCATGTTTTAATCTTTGTAACAATGAGATAACACAAGAGTCCTGCAGTATGTAGCTTCAAATCACACCAATCGTGTGAGGCCTTGAAAGTCCAAACTGTAAATCGTTGCTCGTTTATGAAATAATTACAGTTCTTCTGCGTTGAATTCTTACTGTGATGTTATGTAAACATCTGGACAGGTGAGAAAGTGAGATGAAGGCTCAACCCCAGGTACCACAGCTGGGGCTTCCTGCAGGGACAACAACATCTTTCTCACTTTCCCACATTGATCTTAAATGTAGTAAGACCTAATTACTAATATTTTAATTGTGATGCCATAAAAAGCAACTTCTGAACGTGCGTGATGCTTCGTAACATTTCAACATTGTTTTGTAGCAGAAAAGTTTTTGTATTGGAGAATCGTTCCATATCAGAGCGGGTGACATAAACTTAAACATCGAAAGCTTTGGCAACACTTAAATACAACTAGAAACTTCAGTAATTGCAGTATGTGGAACACAATTCCTCGCTAATTGTTTCAGGACCTGGCAGGCTTCTCCACCTGAGCATACAGGCTCTCTGGTAGAGTCTCAGTGGGTATCAGGGATCCAGCGTGAGGTCCCACCAAGCTGTAGGTGGAGGTCGGAGGTCGGACCTGAAGCATCATCTTTTGGACTCTGATCCAGAGGTTGGGCCTGGTAAATAAATCACATACATCTTTAGCAAACGCTGTCTGCCATTTTAACTTTACACTATTTTTTTTATATATTATTTTTAATGTGGGAAGTAATCTCCCTACGATCAACAAACGATCATATAAATACTTTTAAAAAAGCAAATTCTGCATCTTTGTCTTCAAAAAAACGATGAGGTTTTTTTTCACCACATCATAATGAATTTGTATTTTCAGGCTTTTTTCACAAAGAGCTGAATTCTAAGGAATCTCTTGGCCAAGAGAGCACATCACACTGCAGCTTAAACACAAGCACATAAACAAAGCTTTGACAACACATGAAGTACGTTAGAGAAAGACACTGCAAATTATAGTTTTTCTGACTGAAAATGAGGTTTGCAAAACAACTAACATGTGCAGACAATGAGAGCAGATCTCACCTGAGAGTCTTCTGCTCACATTGTTCATTGTGTAAGAAAATGCAGAAGTACAAAAACATCGGCTC